TTGAACAAATCTCTTGAATGAATGATTCAATGACTCACATTAATAAATCCTTCACTTGTTTCATAACTGGATGAATCAGCATTTTTTGAACAAATCTCTTGAATGAATGATTCAATGACTCAATCATAAATCCTTCACTTGTTTCATTACTAGATGAATCAGCATTTTTGAACGAATATCTTGAATGAACAATTCAACGACTCACTCATAAATCCATTCCTAGATGAATCAGCATTTTTTGAACGAATCTCTTGCATGAATTTATATTCAAACTATAAAAAATTTTGTGTGGTTGCAAATAGATCGCCATATTTTAACGATTAATCTTGCAGCTCTAGTTAACACACATATTACTGTGAGATTTAACAGATTAGCTCCCTTCACTTCCACTATAAGTGCTCACTGTAACGCTATAAGGAAACGAGTGGAAATTAATTTGTGATAAGCAACATTTTCCCAGATAGCAACATAGTGTTAGCCCACATCTGGTTACGCACTGAATCCACATGTACCTGATGTGGGCCAGATCTGAGCCGAAACCGTCTGAGTTGTTTATGTATGCTGTCGATTGAGATTAACTCGAATTGAACCCGGAATATTCCTGTAAAATAATTCCACTTATTGATGCTTTTACCTCCAGCATGACGCTTTTACATCTACCATGACGTGTCGGGATAACTGAGTCATGCTAACCAGCCCAAACCTGGCCGATCCTGGATCAGACTTTGACAATCAATAACTCCCATAAGAAGAACAACCTGACAGCAAAACAACGGGAAATCTTGTCCACAAAGCCGATCCACCCGGGAAAAGGGACAAAGAAGCCACCCGGAGAGACTGATTCTGATAATACGCAGCTTAAGATTAGTCGAGTCCCACAATGCACCTGGCACACAATGGCATACAGATCTGTATTATCCACAATGACAGCCCAGCTCAGCATGACAGATGACTCATATTCACAGATAATAAAGTCATTTCACAGATGCAGTGAAGTCGAGGAAGGGAAATCTCTGATATAGCGTGTGTTTATGTGACTAGGTGCGAAAATATCCAAATATACCCTACATTCGGTGACTGAAATATGAATTATGAATGTGTAGATCATTTTATAGATGTCGTATGTGAAGAGATATTTTGAGACTGCACTGGGTTAATATTACCAAAGCATTGTATAAAATCTTTTTAAGGCCTCATAATTAAAGTTGTAAAGGGATTAAATTTACTAGTAACACTTTACAATAAGGTCCCGTTGATTAATGCACTAAGTAACATTAACTAAGAATGGGCAATGCATTTGTTACAGTGTTAATAAAATACAGTTCATTGTTATTTGTCAGATCAGGTTCATTAACTAACATGGTAATACTTTACAATTAGGTCAAATTAATGCATTAACAAACATCGACTAACAATTAGAGATTAACCGATATGAACATTTTGGCCGATACCGATAACCGATATTTCTTTACAGGTGAAACTCGAAAAATTAGAATATCGTACAAAAGTTCATTTATTTCAGTAATTCAACTTAAAAGGTGAAACTAATAGAGCCAGACCAATTTATCGGCCGATATTAGGCATTTTCCAAACTATCGGTATCGGCAGTTATAATGGCCGATAAATGAATATTTCAAAAATAAACTAAAACCGGACGAAACACGCTTCAACCATGTCATGAGTGTTGGAGTTGTATAGTTTGTCCACCAGAGGGCACTCTAAGTTAGCTTTTTTTTTACACGTGTGTGAAATCCAACGACGCCAAGTGTGCGTTGCAGACTGTCGTTCTGTAATGGATTTAGATTAGAATCGCTAAATAGTAGGTTTTAGACGACAGGCAGCAACTGAAGATTGAAAATGATTCGATGCAGCTTGATGGAAAGAATTTAAAAAGTGCAGGTATAAGCGAGCTGACATTGTAATTATAAGGGAGCTTATAAGGCAATGTAGGGACTCATTATTATTTTATCAGAACTTGAATGTATTTTGATGTTCTTCTGTTGTGACAATAAAAGAAATGAGTTTCTTTTTAAAATGCTTTATCATATTATTTTAGTTAAAACTCATAAATAACTGCAAATAACTAATGTTAGGGAAATCTGTTAGTGTTTTGTTACGCGTTTCTGAAATATAAAAAAATAAAATAAAATAAAATATCGGCCGATATATCGGAATATCGGATTTTAAAACCAACAAATATTTGTATCGGTATCCTTTATCGGTCGGGCTCTAGAAACTAATATATTATATAGACTCATTACATGCAAAGTGAGAAATTTCAAGCCTTTATTTGTTATAATTTTGATGATAATGGCTTACAGCTTATGAAAACCCCAAATGTGAAAAGGCTTTCATAACTGTAAGCCATAATCATCACAATTTTAACAAATAAAGGCTTGAAATATCTCACTTTTTGCATGTAATGAGTCTATTTCATATATTAGTTTCACCTTTTAAGATGAATTTCTGAAATAAATGAACTTTTGCACGATATTCTAATTTTTCCAGTTTCAACTTTATATTTGAAAGCCGATAACCGATATATTGGCCGATAAATCTAAATAAATTTTTTTATATCATTTTTGAGGGCCTGATTACAAAAATAAAAGTTTCACCAATAAAAGCCATGTCCCAAACACAATAATTTCTTTCTTTCTTATTTGTCTCAAACAATCAACATAGATAAACAACAACAAAACAATAATTAAAACTAGGGCTGAACGATTAATTGCATTTGCGATAAAATCGCGATATGATGAAAAGCGATTTTGTAATCGCAAGAGCTGCGATTACACTGGTCACGTGACACGCGAGAGAAAAGCAGTCTGCAAGATAAAGCATCAACTTGCCACGCTACGCGGTCTTGCGTTCAGAAAAGAACAGTTTATTGTGTTATTTATTCTCTCCTCAACAATCCTGGATCGATTCAGAGAATTTCAGAATCGAGTATGAGCTTATAGTTTTTAAACACATGCGTAATGACGCTGCGCGTGCTTAGAAACGAACCGTGTTCTGAATCTGCTTGCTTCTGTTTTCTCGCTCTCTCTCTTCCTCATTCACACACACGACACCGCTCGAACCTTCCAAAACATAGTAACGTTATTTCATAAAGTTCGGGATTTAACCGAATTACAAGGACATTCGCGGGCTTCATTGAACAGGTTTCGCCGCTTTGCTTGATGTTATAACGTTACACTTGCAGTGCGCGTTCTCTCCCGCGGGAATTTTCTTTACAAATGCTTCACAGAGGCATTATTTATGTCTTTTGGAATGCAGTTGGCTTATATATTAAAACCATGAAAATCACTGAGAAGGCTGCTTTTATTTTAAAATACTAACGCGTGCTTTGTGAAGAGCGCTCGTGCATGCGGCCGTGAGCGACTCATTGGTAAATGTACTTGCATGTCAAAATGCTTTTATGACGCGAAATTAATGTAAACACGGTCAGTTATATCTTAAACCAACACAAACCACATTTACAATTTCAAAAGAGATATATGCATTAGTGTGAATGCAGCTTATCGTATCTAAACTGAGGGGAAATCACCAGCTCTTGAATGAAAAACATTCAGACAGCCTACTTTTAAATACTGAGACCACTCTTTGTTTATTGCTTGTAATGTTTTTTTTTTGTTTCTCTTTATTTACTAGCTTTTATATTTTGAAGCTATATTATTTTATATAGCCTATTTAAAATTCTTAACATGTAATTGGTTTAAAGTTTTTTATATTTATTTTTTAAAGTATGTGTTTTTACACATGTAATTAAATACATATTTTAAGAGTTATTAAGATTAATTAATAAGAAAAAAAGTAGATCGGATCATGAGCTATCTAAAGATTCCCATCCCTACTGTACAATGATTTATTGCTTGTCTTTGTCGACTAATACAGAAGGTAAATAACTTTTTTTTTTAAATCGCATATTAAATCGCAATCGCAATATTGGTTAAAAAAAATCGCAATTAGATTATTTTCCAAAATCGTTCAGCCCTAATTAAAACCACAAAGTAACACAACCACCAAAAAATAAATATGCATATATAAATAATATAAATAATAATAATACCAAAACAACAAAAAAAAAGAATAAAAATAAAAACTTGTGATTTGTAAAAAAAAAAAAAAAATTGTAAAATCATTTGTCAAATGATTTTAATGTACATTTTCATTGTCAGTTCATGTTAACAAATGGAACACACATTTAAAATGTAGCTTTTATCCATTAAAATGTACAATAAATATTGATGACTCAGATTTGCGTCCAATCAAATGCTCTCAAAAATCAGAACGCCCCTCCCACAAACTAGCAAGTAGGAAGCATCGTGGTTCATTGCGGTGATGTAACCCAAACTACATGTTTCAGAAGAAAATGCATTGACACACACAGGAAATAAATCTGCAAATCAAATGATTTCATGGGGTTTTTCCATTTAGCCACGTGCAAAACTATACATTTTAAAAATCATCTAGTCGGAGGGTTGTCTGAATGACTAGTCATTGTTAAGTTAGTCTAATTAGGCTGTGTCATGCATAGCAGCCCGCCGTCTGAAGCGTTTCATGCAAATCCTTCAATAACAGCCTCTTTGAGAACATAACAAACAATTAATAAGAAGAATTTAGAATAAGAAAACACACCTTATATAACTTTTATTTCAAAAGAGGCCTACTCACAGCATGCACGTCCTGGACACATGCAATAAAGCTTTAAATAAACCTCCCTTTTGTGACTTCTTTTATACTTTAGATTAGAATTGCATCTGTGCTACAACAACACTTGTGACAATGCAATAGCATTTTTGTGATTTCAGTTCTTCTGTGCTTTCCTATTTCAAACAAGAGCAATCTGTACAGCAGGAGGACAAGACTAATGTTTATAAATGTTATGCAAGATAGACCTTCTCACGTAACAGCATTGCGTGAGTCACGCGATTCATAATACATATAATCTGATGCTGATAGTCCCTTAAAGTTGAAGAGACACAGCAATACTGACTCACCACATTCCAGAAGAAAGGATTGAAGATGATCGCAACGACCGCCACGCAGAACCTGGGCTCTGTCAGGTCTATTAGCCTCGACAGCTCGGTCAACACAGACACGTCCATCTGGGGAGGCAAACACACAAGTGTGTAAGTGCACACTCTTGGGATATTTTAGGTCAAATACAGAACATTAGGGGTACATTGAACTCACGATACGATATTATTGCGAAGACATTGATGAAAGGTTAACAAAAAATGTACTGGTGGTTAAAATGCTTATTTTGATATAATATTGTGTGTGTGTAAATGAATAAGGAGTTGGTGCTGAAACCAGACACCAGAATAACAATATTCATGATTCTGAAGCTGAAAATACAAAATTATTTTAGATGAATATGCTTTCACTCTTTCACTGACATTTGGCATTATCAGGACACACACATATTCCCCCATTGCATTATTATACACTATATTCAACATTATTTGTAGCAGTTTAATGTAGTTCTGACACTAAACTCTGAGAACTTGAATTTCACAATCATTTTCATTTTTATAATTCATATTGTCACTATCCACGATACATATTGATGCATTTTTTGTATTGCGATATATTGTGACACCCCTACAGAATTTTTCTTTATTTTTTTTGCTATATAAAAATTAGGGCTGTGCAAAAATTAATTGCGATTAATCGCATCCAAAATAAAAGTCTGTGTTTACATAAAATATTTGTGTGTGCTGTATATAATTGTTTTGTATATATAAATACACACACATGCATGTATATATTTAAGAAAATGTGTTATTCATATATAAAATATTTATATTTATATAATATAGATTATGTATTTATATATATATATATATATATATATATATATATATATATACAGAATTTAAGCGCAAATAATTCTTAAATATATACATGCATGTAATATATACAAAATAATTATACAAAGCACACACAAATATTTTAAACACAGTAAACACAGACTTTTATTTTGGATGCGATTAATCGCAATTAATTTTTGCACAGCCCTAATAAAAATATATTTTAAAGGGAAACGTCTTAAGAAAATATTTTAGGGTATTTTCTTTTCATCTAACCTCTTTATGATGCCTAATGTTGTGTAAAGGGTATTTCTGCTCTTCCATAAGCGCCACCTACTGTCTGAGATCAGCATTTACACCGTCTGCCGTTTCAGACCAGTTATATATAACACAAATAGTCAGTTATTAGGCTGAATTATGAGATTTATCAATATTTTACATTTTTGTTTTGTCTGTGAACTATAAAGTTATTTAAATGAGTTATTTTACAGTTTATGTAGCCATTAGTGTTGTTTCAAAACATAAACAACATTTTATAACACATCAAACTGTGTTGTGTCGCTCACTTATAGCTGTTTACTTCTGCATTTTGGCTTCACATTTCATAAAAACGTATAAGAATCAAAATTTTGTTGGTCACTGAGCTTTTTTAACAGGAGAGTCACGAACGCGCATCACAGAACAGAGCAAGGCGAGCATATAAAACGTAAAATTTTGTATTTATTTATTAAATGAGCGATTGTTTCGCTTGATAAGACCCTTATTCATCGTCTGGAGTCGTTTAAAGCCCTTTGAACAGTTTGTAGTTTGCACTGAAACTCTCTTTTGGACCGTGAACCGTTTGGACCCCATTGAAGTCCATTATATGGAGAAAATCCTGGAATGTTTTCATCAAAAACCTTAATTTCTTTTCGACTGAAGAAAGAAAGACATGGACATCTTGGATGACATGGGGGTGAGTACATTATCAGCAAAAGGTTTTTTTTTTTTGAAAAGTGAACTACTCCTTTAATTTAGTTGCATCCATACCATTTTATTCCCTGGGGATTCTAGCATTATACAACAAACTGTGATTTATTGACGCCACCAAGTACAAAAGGGCATTAGAAAGGAACAAAGTGGCCTTTTAAACACTTGCGGTGTGAAGACTGCTCTTTGTTTATGGAAAGAGGGGCTGATATTGCCCTGAGCAATGTCTCCTCTTAAAGTCTCAGTAACACATTAGATAGGCCAACAACATAAAAGCCCATTGACTGCGTTTCCATGCACAACAGATTTGAATTTGGCCGTGGTCTGATTATGTAATGCAACACATTAACCTGACTGCTAAATAAGATTAAACTGATATTCTGTATCCTTAAACTCTGAATACCAATCCTGAAGATCTGAGGGACTGATGAAAGAAAACCACTTCAAATCTTCATTATGAGTCCGAATCATAAATAGAGTGCATGTTCACAATTTAAATGAATAAAAGAATGATTTAAACACATTTGATATATATATTTAGATTAAATGTGCCATTCTCATTGATGGAGTTAAGCACTTAAATTACCTGAAATCATTACAGAAGCTACATTTCTTTTAATTTTAATAAACAGAAATATTTGTAGTGGATGTGATGCGTTTGAACACTTTTCCTGCTGCATGTGTTTTAAAGTTGTAGTAGCAAATAATGATCAATAACTTTCTCCGAAATGTATTTTAATTTATACCATTTGACTTATTTAGTAGTACCGCTCGTTTCGTGTCCTAGACCATCAATGTTACATTTACAAGTCATTAGATCATGTTTAATTTGGACTTCTCTGTGCATGCTCTTTGAGGTGGTGACCATAGACCTGCATTATATGACTGACAGACAAGAACGGTTTGACCTAAAAATATCAAAATTGAAAATACTGCGGAAACAAAGACACACATCTTGGATGCCCTTGAGGTAAGATAAAACATACCAAAAATTAATTTCAAAGTGAACTAACCCTTTAACTGTATAAGCCCCGCCCCTATATCTGCTCTGGTGTTGCGGTTCTGCAGGTGTAAACAACTCATCAGACTGTAATGACGTGCACAAACAATCAAACGCAATTGACATTTGAAAGAAAAAATACCACGACGCAATGATGATGATTAACGAGCAGTGTGTTGCAGTGTCCTGACCAGAGAGGTGGAACTACAGCTTCTGCAGAGAGATGAGCTGACCTGACTGTAATCCACGTTATTCAAGCCTCCACAGCAGTCCAGTGCGGGGTTTCTGTCGAACAGCGACTCTGAATCAAACAAACTCCTCTCTGCTCTCTTTCTGGAACATGTCACCAGCATTCAGAATAAACCACACACACTTTTATTACCGTAATTGGTGAGGAACTTTCAGCATGCAAAACACAGCGGACATGACAGTTTACCTTTGCCCCGCTTAAGTCGCATGGAACTCTGGGAAATGGAGTTTTTAGGCAATCAAACGCTTCATCAAGATATCAAATCACTCTGTCTGTTTTATGTGGGAATTTATTGACTTTGTTTTGTGATAGACTATTACTTCAGTCTTAGGAAGCACTGTGTTTATAATCAGCACACTGAGACTGAGTTTTCATTGGTCTTTTTTGCTTCTTGTATTTATTTCAATAGGCTTCTGAATCGTCTTCTTCCTTGTAGCCTATTTGCATAACGACTTGTGTTTGGTATTCAGATTCTCTTTGGCTGCTTTCCTTCCCATATTTGAGGGGTTTTACTTATTTATTTATTTAAAAAAAAAAATGTCCCCCAAAATGATAAACATGACTTAAGTCCTGATCTCCTCTACAGTGGACAAGCATGAAATCAATGCCCTGTTTTATAAAGTCATATTTTACATTTACCCCTAATATGCACATTTTAGGTGCTAATATGTACATTTTAGGTGCTAATATGTACATTTCAGGTGCTAATATGCACATGTTAGGTGCTAATATGTACATTTTAAGTGTTCATATGTACATTTTAGGTGCTAATATGTACATTTTAGGAGTTAATAAGCATATTTCAGGTGCTAATATGTACATTTTAAGTGTTGATATATACATTTCAGATACTAATATGTACATTTTAGGTGCTAATATGTACATTTCAGGTGCTAATATATACATTTCAGGTGCTAATATATACATTTAAGGTGCTAATATGTACATTTAGGTGCTAATATGTACATTTCAGGTGCTAATATGTACATTTAGGTGCTAATATGTACATTTAAGGTGCTAATATGTACATTTTAGGTGCTAATATATACATTTAAGGTGCTAATATGTACATTTTAGGTAGGCCTACTAATATGTACATTTTAGGTGCTAATATGTACATTTTAAGTGTTGATATGCACATTTTGTGCTAATATGTACCACTAAGGTACCAATATGCACACTTTAGGTATAAGTGCACCTTTTGAAAAGGTACAGCCCCAGTGACCGCTTTTGTACCTTTTTTCTGAGAGTGTACGTTCGGCTGCATTTACACATTTTACAGTGTTTACATGAATCAAGCATGTGTATATACAGCATCTATACTGTGGTGACAAACGTCTTCCATCAAACCTTCCTCTGTATTTCAAGAGCATTTAGGCTATTGGGGGATTATTATTAGTTGTTATTTTGGATGACTTTATGTTGTGGAGTGGGTTATGCGAGCATGTTTTCCCCCATGTAAAGTCAGGGCAGAGTCATCAATGATTCCCTATGAGTCACTTCACATGCGAGAGATACAGACGGGAAGAAGGATAGAGTCGTTCTGCTCACAGGAACGTGGGTTTGAGTCCAGTGTGCGTCACGTCCCTCTGTCCTCCTGACCATCTTCTCTTTTGTAAACATCAAAAACGGCAAAGAAGATAATAAAAAGCAGATTATGAAGGCAAAGTCATGCTGACACAGCATCTTATGTTATGAATATGTGCTGCTGCTCAGAATCTATGATGGAAATGGAAAAAAGTCAGTGTTGTGATGCTTTTTTGATATGTTTTGTATGGTGCAATCCATCCTTGATTCAAAAATAAATAAAAATATGTGATGTTTTTAAGATAAGTGCTGAGCATTGTGCATTAAGTGCATTAAGATAAGTGCATTGCTGAGTATTTCCTCCTTAAAACTGCAGTGAACCAAAGACAGTCTCAAAAACACGCTTTGAAATCGCTGCTGTTTCTGACGTCACAAACCACCTTGTAACCAATCAGATCAACGTGTGATCGTCTCATTTGCATATTCGTAGAAATCTAAATGAGGCAAGGGTGTCGAGTTATATTCAAAATATTTTAAGCAAAAAATAATAATATTTCAGGGAAAAAAAACGTTTAAATATGTAAATTTCGTGATAAAGATTATTCAGGTGAATAGAGATAAAATGATTGACTAAACGCCAATTATCTCATTTAACTAAGCTTTGTCTCATTCCTCCTATGTGTCCCTTAAATCTAAAATGCATTTGTTTAATTAAGCAAAAAAAAAAAAAAAAGATACACAAATAATGCTGATTTAAATTTTTACTCTATTAAATTGTCAATGAACTGCTGTTTCCAATACTTCCATATTTTAGAGTGAAATGGTATATTGAATGAGTAAAAATTTTGGGATTATATTATTAGACTGTCACCATTGTTTAAGAGACGTTGAGGTAAAAAGCACATTATTCATGATTCATTCATTCGTTGTACTCTTGTTCTAGGATTGGATTGTCTATGTTTGTCTTTTTTTTTTTTCAAATAAACATTCTCGCCTCTCCTCGTTCCTGCTCACAGATAAAAGGTCTTACACATGAGTGGCAAAGAATACAAAATGTCACTCTGAAAGAAAACTGAAAACGCGTCTGATGTGTCCAGATGCACAAAATCAGTCATTTTCATTTGAGCCGAGCAACCCATTCACTGGCAATCAGGCCGGATCCTGCCCCCCATGGAAAGCCTCTATTTTGGGAAGCTTTAGGTGTTGCTTTACCTGCATGAGTCCAATAAGAGCCGATGGTTCAGGAGGACGGGATCTCATCAGGAGACTCTGTGGTTGGAGAAAAGACGCTGATGAATGCCTTTCAGTTGGCTTGTTTTCTCTTGTCAGCAGGGTTATTTTCGGAGGAGGATATTATTAAAGCCACTTTTACATTGTAACCAGCCATGTGACATTTTGAGTGACATCTGCCAAAATCAGAACGTCACGTTGTATAATCGTCACTTAAAGAAGTCGCCATTTATGCTATAACTAAAGGTTGTAAAAACCGAGACCGAGTCCAGCATGTGTTGAGATCAAAACAACACTCAAAATTTTTTTAAAGTCCCCGTGAACCGGAAGTTGCAAACGATTTTTCTCCAGTGCTGTGACGTATTTCCAAGTGAAACGGAATATTGAACAGAGGGCAGGGTTTTACTCTAGCGCTCCTCCTCTCCATCTCTCGCTCATAGCAAACTAACGGTTTGAGGGGAGTGGTTAAGCGTTTCCCCACCCAAACTGTGAAACCTACGTCATCAGAAAAAGAAACCGTTCCAGACCGGAAGTAACTTTTCAGATTTTGATTAAAGATTACTAAGGTAAAACATTTTTTAAATATATATTCACTTGCACGGATTAATTGTTCACCACAAGACTAGTAATATGCGCTAACAAAGTAAATAGGTTCAATTTTGATTTCACGGGGACTTTAAGTATACCTAAATTCCCCCTATTCAATAATTTTATCCTTTAAAACTCATCTTTGATCACCACAATGTTTTTTTCCTTGAAAAAATCATCTTCATGGATGGTTTAAAATATCTTGAATGTAACTCGACACCCTTGCCTCATGTAGTATGCGCGGGCGGCGGTTCTATGAATATGCAAATGAGCCCCGCCTCCACCCACACCACTGGTTGATGATCACACTTTGATCTGATTGGTTACAAGGTCGTTTGTGACGCCAGAAACACCAGCGATTTCAAAGCGATTTATGAATTTACACATGGATTGTCTTAAAGCGTATTAAAAACACCACATAGACACATAAACATCATTAAAAGCTGGATTCAAAAGGGTTTAGATTAAGCCCTATCTATGTATATTTATATAAACTTGCCTTAGCAAAAATAAAACATCATTTTCGTGCATTTTACTCTGGGACTAGCTTAAGCCTGGTCTGTGAAACTGGGTACATTTATAAGTAAAGGCTACACTCTAAGAAGAAATGGTTCTATTTAGAACCAGAAATGGTTCCATCCCCTGCTTCATATGGAACTCCAATATGGTTCTATATAGAACCATTTTTTTGTTGGTAAAAGGTTCTATTGGCCAAGTATGGAACCCCAGGGTTCTATATAGAACCCAGAGGAACCATTTTTTTTAAGAGTGTATAGAACCTTTTAGGGGTTCCAAATACGTAGCGCTGATAGAACCTTTTAAGGTTCTATATAGAACCTTTTCTTCTAAGAGTGTATCGATGTAAGTATACTAATGTCAGTGTTCTAGTGTAGTGTAACTAAATTGATTCACGTTTTAGTGTATAATTTTATATATGTATACATTAGTTTTAACAAAAAAATAGTAAAAGTAGGCCTAAAACTACTATTAAAATTAAAACAGATTTTTTTATTCAAAATATGAATAATAAGAGATCCCATTAGTTAATGCATTAACTAACAATGAGCAATGCATTAGATACAGTATTTATTAATCTTTGTTAACGTTATTAATAAAACACAACTGTTCTTATATTTCATGTTAGACTTTTTATTGTTAATAATGTATTAATAAATGTTCAACTAATGCTTTAAAGTATTTTTCAGTGTAAGTTCATGTTAACTAATGGAACCTTATTGTAAAGTGTTGCAATGATGCAAAAATAACACTGATAATAATGAACATTTTTCAGAAAGTGCTGATGTAGATTTGTTTGTGAATAACCGTAGGTACGTTCAGCTGCATGTGTTAGTCTCTCTGTCCTTGATAATGTTTTGGACAATCTGGAACAGAAAGAAAAAGTCTTGTCTTCTAAATCCATATAAGTGCAATATATGCAACTGTATAATACTGAGTGACCTCAGATATGAAATGCAGGAACAAATGATTCATTTCAAGCCCCGTAACCCACTATCATATAAACATGTGCATCGCTAAGAGGGATCAGGTGGTTCTTTCTATCTTCATGTGATGCATATAAATAGAAGTTACTGTGGATACACATGTGGGTGGACTATAGGTGATATATTTATCATTAACTTTCCCGTGGCTTGCGGAGTCACACTTTTAAAACTTCTTTGCACACATACATTTACAATCCTGCCTTGAGGTAAAAACACTGCAATAAGTGAATTCGGTAGTGTTGTATAAACAGCACCGGTACACAAATTGCAAAAAAGAAACATCCATCAATAAAGGCACTAAAGGTTTAAACCTTCAGGGAACTGTGTTTTTTTGGTGTTTGCGTCACACATGGAAATGCAGGGAAGGATCTTTGAGTTCGAACTGGAATATACAGATCCAGTTACAGCTGGTCAGTCCATCGGGATCCGGCTATGTTAATATTGTGATGCAGTTGGCACAGTGTGTGTCGCCATCAGCTGAATATACAGAGGAAGATGAGCAGAAGAGTGTGTTTCTGACCTGCGTGGGAATCATATGCGAGGCTTATAGAGATTCAGGCTGATTTTCCCACAGTGCTCCTGTAAAAGTAAAATAAAGTACTTCTTTAAGCTGTTAGTCAATCCAGTCTCATGTGCAAAAGGACATTACGTTGCTTCTTGCACGTTTCATGACACGTTCAATGTGAAATGTCCAGTGCGTTCAGTTTCATCGGTTTTATTTCATTAACTGTTTTATGTTGGTTGTTATTCATGGCAGTTCTCAAATGCTTGTTTCCGCCACATCAAAACAACAAATGTGACTTTTTACCTCACAATTGCGAGATATTAAGTCAGAATTGCGATATATAAAGTCACAATTACCTTTTTTATTTTTTAAACAAGCTTCCATAAATGAAATACTCAATTGCATTTAAAAAAAATGCATCAACGACTCTAAACCTGACCGACAGTGTTAATAAAACAAAACTAGGGGCGCGTTTCCCGTACAACAACGTAGTTCGCTGCATCACTATCATAGTACGATCAGAGTACTATGATAGTGATGCTATCTAACGGAGAGCCTTGGCACTTCCTATTAGCCCCATTGTGCATCACCTTGGTTGCAGTTCCATTAGAATTCCACTGGAGGTGATCGCGGGCGAGTGCAGAATGAATGGGAGTCTATGGGGCTAAACGGCTAAATGTGTCTCTTTCACCTGCTTGTCGTTAAATCAAAATAGACTTTATTGTTGATTCCGTAAGTTCAATATAGATTATAGACCAAAAGTCGAATCAAAGAGTACTTATGTCCTTTCGATGTCTTACAGGTTAGGCTGTTGGTGTCAAACCACACAACTTTGCGATGCTGTTTGCGAATGTTCGTTGGAACGATGGTTTCGGGAAACACCGATTCGTTGAACTATGCTGATAACGACGGAACTTGCGACCATAGTTGGCTAACGATGCTTTCCGGAAACGCACCCCTGACCGACAGTGTTAATAAAACCAAACTAGGGTGCAATTCCTGTACAACGACGTAGTTTGCTGCTTCACTACCATAGTACGATGCATCGTTGGAGAAATCAACTAGCTAGTCACGACTGTTTCCCGAAACCCATTGTCGCAAAGCATCGTTCAACCACGTTGGTTTCGCACGTGGTGGAGTAATAAATAGGGTTGGGTATCGTTTGAATTTGAACGATTCTGATTCCGATTCCGATTCCTTGTTTCGATTCCGGTTCCTAACGATTCTCTATTCCGATTCTTTTAAGAGGCAGGGTCAAAAAAGTTTAGCTAACCTTGCTAACCAACGGCCTTTCTGAAGGAAATAATCCTTTCTGAAGGAAATACTCCTTTTGTCACAAATTTTGCATTTTGCCGAGATTTCGTTATTTTTTAGAAAAGTGAAGCCACACTTTGGACCGCCGACGTAAGGTACTCATGTTCGACTCGCGCGGTTATGCCAACACTTCCGGTAGACGCTTCTTTTTTTTTTTTTTTCTTTTTTTTTTTTTTTTTATTAAACATTAAAGCAATCCGGTAGACGCTTCTTCGTTGGTGTTGTTCAGCGGTTTCTTCTTCCGCTTGGCGGACTGTGAATATCGAAACTAGGAATCGAAATTTTAACTTTTGAACGATTCCGGGAAAAACTAAAAGTTAGTCTCGGTTCCAATCGATACTCGATTCTCGATACCCAACCCTAGTAATAACTACTTTTAATGAAACTGTTTGAGATCCAATTAACGCTATATTTGTTTTATATAAATTACAGACATGTACGGTGGCCGAGAGAATTCAACGTGTTGCAACCTAAAGAAGACGCATGCAAATACAAAAAAAAAACGTGTGCAAATGTAAAAACGCATGCAAATACAAAAAAAAACATCCGCAAATTAAGAAAAACATCTTCATCAGTTCCACAACACACGTGTGCTCCAAGTACTCACAACACAACCAAATACAGAAACGCGCACCGAGTAACAACTTTGATGGTTTCGGGAAAACACCGACTCGTTGAACTATGCTGATAACGACGGAACTTGCGACCATAGTTGGCTAACGATGCTTTCGGGAAACGCACCCCTGGGCGATTAAAACACATTTGTTGAAGTAGCCTAATTATTTAAGTATTTTGTAAAAATGCAAAGCATGCATAAATATTGGGTAAAATAATCCACTAAAAAAATATTCCGTCAATACATTTCAGTATTGAATGAAATGTTAGAAATACAATATTAGTATTAAAATGTACAATTTCTCTCAGCTCGTCCAACATCCTGGTTTCCTTTGTTAACTGAGCTTGTTGTGCGTGACTTGTTTGTGAAAGATGCTGCGATATTGCATTAGATTAGATCAAAGAAAGAAATCTTAAAAGGCTGTATAATTAAGATGCCAATCTTGCTTAATATGAGACTCAGACTGATGAAGACGTAGGTTGACTGTTTTCATTGTGCGGTTTCATGTTTTATCGTGTTTTTCCTAAATGTTATGTGAGGTATTATGTAAGTAAATATACACTATTTTGCATGCATTTCCAGATGAGAAATCTGAACTCTGGATAAAGTCAGGTTCATTATTCTTGGTTGATTTTGTTGACATATACAGGTTTTGGTTTTGTTTTTTTGAGATTTCT